CATGATTTATCTTTGTCTCATTTTTTCACATCACAAAAACCTGGCATTTTAACAGGGGTGTGTAGACTTTTTATATCCACTGTACTTTAGTTTTCAAGTCCAATCTGTGTTTGAAACAGCAATATAGTCATTGTTAATTATTGTCCTATTCAGACTGCTGGATGTTGTTTGTTGTCAACTTCCAGTAATATGTTGTACAGTGGTATGTTTCACTTTCATTACATCCTGCATCAAGTTCTCTCTTGTGGGATAGATGGGTGTAGAAGTTGGGTATTACACCTTACAACAACAAACCCCACAACATTAAAAATCAGTTACAATGAATTAGACAAAGTTTCCCAGAATTAGAGAAAACACTTTGAAAACAGTGAAGATCAGAACTGATGAGGAGTAATAAAATGTTTCTGTGGCAAGCTTGGTAAAGGTGATGCCAGCCTTCTTACTTTAGAAGACAAATGTTACATTTAACAATGTGTTTTATTATTAATTTTTCAGACTCACACAAACACACCACAGTGCCAGTCAGTTCCTCTGCTCCAGTACCAGGGGGCAGTAATGTGACACTGACATAGTTGTGCCAACCCAGCAGTAATGAGCCTTTAATGGGGGCCAGACAAGTTTTAAACATTAAAGCTTTTTAAAACAACAGTCTTTTTTTTTTTTTGCAAGTCTAAAAATGATCTTGGAGCACAACAATCCAACAACAGTCCAATATACATAATCAATATGAGTATCATATTTCAATTTGAGTAAAATCAATTTAAATATTCATTAATTTGTATATGAAATTATTGTATTTATTTTGTTGCTCTGGTTGTTTATAAGTCATTGTGTAATTTGATTTACTTTGATTGTACAATTAAATATCAATTCATAAACTTATTTATAATAATTTGTAAGCTATATATGTTTCCCATAGTAAGTAAGAAAAAGTACATTTTGTTGTCACAGGCGTATGCACTTTTGTGACTTCCTGATTTTACGGTAACTTCTTGTAGGCGGTTTGAAATAGCAGCACAACTGTGAAGGAACTTCACTTCTCAGTACGTCTTTGATCTGTCCGCTCGAAAGACCTGAAGAAAATGTAAGTCATCAGAACTTCTATATGATACATATCAAATCATCATTTATTTTAAATATAAAACAAGCTTCTTAAACTTAAAAATATTTTTTTTTCCAGTTAGATCAGTGAACAATTTCAAAGGTATAAACAAGAAAAAACACCAAAGCTATGTGAAAGGAAAAAAATCTATTCAGATATTTTAAACTGTCATTAAATTGTGGTTTGGTTCCTGTTGAATAGTTGTAGAAAACAAATTGTAGATTGGTAAATACATGGAAAATTAACAAATAAAAGATATGATTTGTTTGCCATTTACCATACGAAGGCCTATAGCTTCCTGTTTTTCCTTTTTATCATCATTTCACCGTCTACGCCTTGTTAACCAAAGCAACATGTTATAGCACTGACACACTGAATGTTACAAAGTGTGGGACAAACAATTATTTTTTATTTTTGCAAATCTCTTCTGTTGAATATCTCCAACACCAAACTTTATTAAAAGCATGGGGAATGCAAGAACTGTATTTAAAATGAATAATGATTAACTTAATTGTTCAAATATGTTTTTTAAAGAAAGGGATTTAAAAGCAGTCATACATCCCCTTTTTCTCCTATGAATAAATAGGTGAGCTTAACTGCTCTGCCCTCATGAGGACTTAAACTCCATAAATAATAACATTTTGTCGGTATTCAATTGAGTGTTAGTGTCAGCACCCTTCACTGGCTTCTTTGGAACATTTTCCACATTAATAAAGTCTGAAAAAGTAAGAGGGTTTCAAAACATTTGTCTATCTGCAACCTCTGCAAATATTGCATTCGATACTGGCTTCCAAATGAACCCTACTGTAAAAGTTCATGAGGGATGAAATGTACTAAAGATGTGAATTGTTCCATGTGTAATCTCCAGAGTTTCTGCCTCTCCTGACACACAAAGATGGCTGCAGCTCTGACTCTCCTTCTCATTGGCTGTCTGCTGCAGAGTGAGTTAAAGTTCATTCACATTTGGATCAATGACTATAAAACTATTAAAATCTATATCTACACACTGTTAGTTAAGCATTCACACCACAGAACAGCAGTATCTTTGATACATGGTGCACTAAATACATTTGATGGGTGAACAATTTTATTTATCTAGAAAAAATCTTTACAGTCTTCATTTTGGATTATTTTAAGAATAAAGGTATAGCGCTAAGATTCTAGCTCGGCAACCAAACAGTCAAATTTCCTTCTTATTGTAAAGTAGTATTCATTTGTTCTCATTCACAGGTTTGGGTCTTGTGTTTCAGGTGTCCACTGTGGAGAGTTTAAGGTCACTATGCCGGAGACTATAGAGGTTCTCAGTGGATCCTGTGTGACCATCCCCTGCTCCTTTGATATAGAGGACAGATTTGGATCAAACTTAGATGGAACATGTAAAGTAGTGTGGAAAAATGAACAAGGGACTTTTGTGTTTGACAGCAGTAATCCACTATCGTCTACAATAAAAGGATATTTGAAAGGAGACTTAACAAAAAGAGACTGCACCACAACCTTGAACAACATACAATCTGGACACAGCAACAAATATCACCTTAGAGTGGAATGTAACAATCGCCTGAAACACAATTTTATTGGACAAAAGTTGGACATTTCAGTAAAAAGTAAGGTTCTAAAGTCCATTTAGTTACACTTCAGTTGTTTATTTTTGTAGAACTGCTTTGACCTTGTTCTCCATTAATTGCACTTTTCAATTAGTATCAAAAAAAAATACGACTGGTCAAAATGTACCTTCCCACCAGATGATCCTCCCAGACCGACTCTGACTCCGTCCACACTGGAGGTGGAGGAGGGAACCTCAGTGAGTTTGAAGTGCTCTGCTCCAGCTCCCTGTCTGTCTCATCCTCCAACTCTGACATGGACCCCCAGCCTGGGTCACAGTCAGGAGACACTGGAGGAGAAACAGGACAAAACTAAAGTCAAGACCTCTGTTGTGACCTTCACTGCTTCTCACCTCCATCACAGACAGGAAATCTCCTGTACTGCTGTCTACAACAAACAAGATGGCAGCACTGAGTCATCTGTTAGCACAAGTTTAACAGCTGATATTTCATGTGAGTTCATTTTTCCTCTGCCGAAATTCATCATTTCAAACATTATAATTGATCTATGTCCCTTACTTTTCAAGTCTTATTTTGAATCAGTGCTAAAATAATTAATCAATTCATCCATTAGTCGATCAAGAGAAAAATAGTTCACATATCATCAATGATGATAATCTATTATCTAATTTTTTTTCCTGTTCTCAAAATATGAGAAAATATTTGCTGTGTTTGTCTCTTTTATAACATTGTAAATTGAATGTGTTTCTTGGCATTTTATACAGTATGCTAACATTTTATAGACTAAATGAAGAATTGATCAGTCATAGATAAATTACTAAACCAATTATTCAAAAATAAAAACAATCATTAGTTGCAGCTCTAGTTTAAATGTGAAATCCATCACTTTGGAAAACAGCAGTTACACTACTGATGCCTTGACTATAAAAACTATTGAAAACTATAACTTCACAAGTATTTGAACCACAGTATGACAATAGGCTATCTGTAATGCATACTACAGCAAATGAAGTAGGCCTATGCTGTGAGCTACAAATGTATTCTCCTTTTGTTTTCTTAAAACTTTAATTTGATGAGTCAAAACTTTGGTATTTTTATGAAGTGACTTTTCACTAAAAAATTACAAAGTTTTCACACACACGAGCTTCATTAGCATTTAAACACTCAACGATGGCTTCTCCCTCTTCCTCTGCTGTTCTGTCTTGCTCAGTGTGTCAGACGTTTAGCTATTCCTCTGCCCCCTTTAGTGATAATGGTACATGTATTAAGTGTAATTGATATTGAATCCTATTTAAAACTGCTGGCTAAAGATATTTAAAGAAGAAAATATATTAAGATAGTTATTCACGTCGGCGGTAATGACACCCGATTACGCCAATTGGAAGTCACTAAAATGAATGTGGAGTCGGTGTGTAGATTTACTAAAACTATGTCGGACTCCGTAGTTTTCTCTGGACCCCTGCCTAATGTGACCAGTGATGACATGTATAGCCGCATGTCGTCATTCCACCGCTGGCTGTCGAGGTGGTGTCCAGAAAACGATGTGGGCTTAATAGATAACTGGAAGCCTTTTTGGGGACAACCTGGTCTGATTAGGAGAGACGGCATCCATCCCACTTTGGATGGAGCTGCTCTCTTATCTAGAAATATGACAAAGTTTATTTCTAAAACCTGACAGTCCAGAGTTGGGACCAGGAAGCAGAGCTGCTGTCTTACACACTCCTCCTGCACTTTCTTTAGAACAGTCACCCACCCAAAACCCCATAGAGACTGTGTCTGTCCCCCGACCACCTAAATTATTTAAAGAAATAAAAACAAGAGGAGTTCAACATAAAAACCTAATAAAAATTAAATCTGCTCAGTAGCACAAAATAAGAGAATGAAATGTGGACTGTTAAATATCAGATCACTGTCTTCAAAAGCTGTTTTAGTGAATGAATTAATATCAGATTATGATATTGATTTACTTTGTCTTACTGAGACCTGGTTGTCCCACGAGGAATATGTTAGCCTAAATGAATCCACCCCCCCATTATTTAATAACTTTTGAATTCATATTACTAGATTATAAGCCATTAGGCAAAACTTTGGGTATAAAGTGCTCAAGCTGTGATCTATATTTGTTAACCAACCCGGAAGTTTGAATCGCCCTGGTTCCTGGTAAAGTAGTAAAGACAAAGGAACACCACTTTTATGATTTTTGAAGCGCACATTTGATTGCCTGAAGTAAAAAGCTAACATTAGGCTCAAAACGAACAACAACACATTAAACTCCTCATTACTGAAAAGTAGTATTCACTTCTTCTTCATGAAAATATTTATGTCTTGTGTTTCAGGTCCGTTTCAGGTCATCATGCCGCAGACTATAGAGGTTCTGAAGGGATCATCTGTGACCATCCCCTGCTCCTTTTGTATAACGGCCGATTTTAGATCAAACTTAGATGGAACCTGTAAAGCAATGTGGAAAAATGATCAAGGGACTGTTGTGTTTGACAGCAGTAATCCACAATCGTCTACAATAAAAGGAAATTTGACAGGAGACTTAACAAAAAGAGACTGCACCACAACCCTGAACAACATGCAACCTGAACACAGCAACAAATATTACCTCAGAGTGGAATGTAACAATTCCCTGACACAAAATTTTAATGAACAAAAGTTGAACATTACAGTCAAACGTATGTTTAAAAGTTATTTACACTTCAGTCATTAATTTCTCATGTACAACTGTCTTGACCTGGTTTTGTATTTATTGCAATTTGCAAATTGTATAAAAAATTGAGAAGAATTACATTTTTACTGACTGGTCAAAATGTACCTTCCCACCAGATGATCCTCCCAGACCGACTCTGACTCCGTCCACACTGGAGGTGGAGGAGGGAACCTCAGTGAGTTTGAAGTGCTCTGCTCCAGCTCCCAGTCTGTCTCATTCTCCAACTCTGACATGGACCCCCAGCCTGGGTCACAGTCAGGAGACACTGGAGGAGAATCAGGACAAAACTAAAGTCAAGACCTCTGTTGTGACCTTCATTGCTTCTCACCTCCATCACAGACAGGAAATCTCCTGTACTGCCGTCTACAACAAACAAAATAGCAGCACTGAGTCTTCTGTTAGCACAAGATTAACAGCTGATATTTCATGTAAGTTCTTTAGTTAATTTTTTAATTCATCATGAAACAATTTTAAGTCAAATCTTCTACAAAAGATTAGCAGAAAAGTAATTTTGATGACAATTTTTATATATAATGCATTTTATAAAAAATGGGTCAGCACACATGACAAATTACTTGATTTCCAAATATCAGATTACATTACACCTTTAAATAATAAAAATCATTTATTTGTCATTTTGTTGTGTGGAAGTGCAGCAAGAAAGCTGGCTGTTGTTTGATGTCAACTTTCTTTTACAATGATGCTTTACCAGGATGAATATGATCAAAGTTAATTCAATCTCCAGGGAACACAGATATTACGACTTATAACTGACAATGTAACACATACCAATGATATTTATTTTTCAGATTCCCCCAAACACACCACAGTGTCAGTCAGTCCCTCTGGTCCAGTACCAGAAGACAGCACTGTGACTCTGACATGCAGTAGTACTGCCAACCCAGCAGTAAGGACCTACACCTGGTACAGAGCTGATGGAGGCCAGGAGACTTTTATTGGGACTGGACGTGTTTTAAACATTGAAGCTTCTGAAGTCAGTGGTCCTTTTTTCTGCAAGGCTGAAAATGATCTTGGAGCTGGACGATCCAATATCAGTCAAATAGACGTTCAGTGTAAGTATCTAATATCAAACTTAAAATGTTCTATATACTCTGACAGGTCTAGCTGTATGCAGTACACTGATTTACATTTAATAATATATTTTCATTATTTGGCTAAGTTAGATATTTACGGTATGTTTAGGATTTTAAAATGTCCAACTTTAGCACCACTGTGTTGTCATCAAAAAAATATTTTTGTGTAGCACATGTATACTCTAATACAACTCTATTAATGCTACTGGACCAGTTCTAGGTTCAACAGAGTGGGGTAACCATACAAAATGAAACCAGAGACCAGGTACTTTAAATATAAAAACCAGCAGTTTACTGAAATTTAACATAGACAATACATATAACAAAATATTAGAACCAGTGAATAGTCCTGCAGGTAACAAAAAAGTAAAGTAGAACTCACTTTCCCTTTTTTTCCTCACCTAGATTTTAAATAATTTGGTTTAGATTTTTTATGTTAGACCAGTCTATAAGTCTATATTTTATTTTATGTTAATATGTTGCACCTACTTTTGGTTTCTTTCTATCTCGTGTTAACTCTTTTTTTAAGTTAGAAAACAAAAGAATATTTACACCATTTTCAAAAATCTTAGTCAAGTTACACTGTTATGCTTTAAATAATAACTTTCACAATTATGAAGACAGAATAAAGTATTAATTTCAGTTCAAGTTCAGTTCCACTCTTGTATTTCAGTTCAGCTCAGTTTAAAGAGAGAAAAGTGGAAAAAGAATAACCCCAACAGTCCTACCGACATGTCCAACAGGTCACGAAAGAAATTTATTATTCTAACTACATAAACCAGGATAAAGTTTTATAATTACTGTAAATTGCAACATTACTGCCACGTTGTTCACACTGCTGTACTTTTCTCCTGCCCTCATGCAATTAACCACACACCTTTGCTTTACATAAAATACATTTCTACATTTTTCCACTAAAACAATATACATTCATACCTCATTTCCTTAACAAACCAAACTAATTAATTAACTGATTAACAGTATGTTTATAGCTTTTTTCCAGTTACAACTGTTAGCTCTTCGCTAGCGTTTAATATACTGCAACAAAGCTTCAACGAAAATAATTGAAACTCACCAAAAACCGTTGTGGTTTACTAATATAAAATCCTCATGAATCCCCGACCAGGCAGGTGTTACTTTTCAGCTTCTAAATCAACTTTTCATTAAAATATTTTCTCTCTTTAATTTATCTCCTCTCTGCTCCACTCTCCTTGTTGCTATGGCAACAAACAGCAGCAAGTCTCTTAAAAGGGAAGTTCATGACATTTTCTTACAGCCATACTTTTAACTGTTTCCATTCAATTAAAGTTAAACAATTATTAATTGATTCTTACATGAATGTATTTGTATGAATTAACTTATTTATGCATTTTAATCAATTACTTCTATTTATCACATTTCAATGTGGGTAACATCTGCATTCCACCTTACTAGTTAATCCTTTTCAGTCTCCAATATCACACACATGTTAATACAAGCTAGTCAGTCATTTAATGGTGTCTCTCCTCTTTAACTTGTTAAGTACTAGTGATGACAGAAAATACTACTGACCATGTTGTATTATTCAGGTGTTTGCACTCTAGGGTCATCAGTTACAAAAGGTGTTGGCACCAAAACTTCAAAAGAAAAATTGTGACACAATCTACCTTAATTATTTCACGAAACATATCAGATCAAGTTACACCTATAAATATTATAAATAATAGTTCCATAAATGTTGTCATTTATTTTTCAGATTCACCCAAACACACCACAGTGTCAGTCAGTCCCTCTGGTCCAGTACCAGAAGACAGCACTGTGACTCTGACATGCAGTAGTACTGCCAACCCAGCAGTAAGGAACTACACCTGGTACAGAGCTGATGGAGGCCAGGAGACTTTTATTGGGACCGGACGTGTTTTAAACATTAAAGCTTCTGAAGTCAGTGGTCCTTTTTTCTGCAAGGCTGAAAATGATCTTGGAGCTGGACGATCCAACATCAGTCAAATAGATGTTCTGTGTAAGTATTGCATGAGTAAAACCCAGGCACAATTCAGTTTATCTAAAGATTCTATTTAGTCATTTATTCATTATCTTTATTTTATTTTGTATTTTTTTTCCCCAAAGCTCCCTGGTAGCTCACCAGCGTGCCCCATTAGAATATCATTTAATATATTTATTGATACAATGTCTTCAGTAAGATGTTAACAAAATGTCTTAATTGATGCAATAAATAAGCAGGTCAGATTTAGAGCTTTGTGAAAAACAAAACAAAAAATGATAATGAACATTTTTTACTCTAAACACACAAATCTCACCATATGTGGTCAGCAGGCTCTCGTCTCATTGATAGTATCCTCATTTTGGTGATAGGAGTTCAGTTGGAAACAATATTAAACCTCATGAGATATACTTTTTAGTCCCATTCATAGTAATTAGACTCTTTCACAGTTTTCCAACTACAATACTCCTTCAGTTACTCACAACAAATTGAAGCCAGTGATTCAGTGTATCGACAGTTCTTTAACACCTTCAAATCTTCCACCTTTTACAGGTTGTTAATATTATTTAACTTTTAGATCCAGCAATATAAAAGTGTTGCGTAAACTGTTCAACGGCTCTTCATTATTCCACATCATTGAAAGAATTTCAAAACCAGCAATTCAGCCTGTCGTAGGCCGTTCAGCAGTCTGCATTCACACACATTCTCTAGTTATATGAGAGGTTGTACGTTACATCTAAGAGTTGTCTCTAATATTTAGTCTAGTAATAGTATGAGGCAAGATTAGAACCGTGACCGTCACTGTTCAAATATGGTCTTTTGTGTCCGATGTAAATAACCTCTTTGTTCTTTCTTGTTCCATCAACTGACTCTGGGTAATAACCAATTCCCAGTCAATGCTCTGATGTTTCTAACTGGTTTAAATAATTATATATATATATATTTTTTACAATTTATTGACTTCATTTGGCTCCCTTTAGTTACCACAGGCCCTCATCAGTATTGAAGTCAATTCTTTGATAAAATCAGGCAAATACACTAACAGATAAGTAAATATGTCATTAGTTAACCCACTTGTAAGACTAACCTAACCCTGGGTTAATATGGCTACAAACAATTCCTTTATTCCTGTGGTAACAAGACACACAAATGAGCACAGAAAAGACCCTCAATGTGGAAAATGATTGACTTTGCATTAAGTTTGTCTTCACTTGCAACTTACAGTTATTGTGATATCAGTACATCTTGTCATTTATTTTTTGCAAACTTGATTAAACATGACTATTACAAGCTTGACTCAGACATGTGACAGCAGAGGGAGTCAACACACACAAATGTCCAAAGCCAAAATAATTTATAAGAAAATAAGAGTTAGGATGTATCTGTGACTAAACTAAGAAGGAGTGGATTTTATTTTATACCTTTGACCCCTCCCAGTAAAGGAAGCCACATGGGCTGTCACAAACTTCATTCTTAACTTGTCTGTCTTCTCTACATTCATTACAGTTGCTCCACAGATCCTGCCCTCATTTTATTGCATGAAAACTGCAGACCAGCTCAACTGTTCCTGTGAGACTGTGGGAAAACCTTCTCCCACTTTACAGTGGTATTTGGATGGTTTACCTGTCAATCACTCTGACAAGTTTGCAATCAGCAATGAGCTTCTAAATGAGACAAGGCTGAAGATAATCATCACTGTGAATCAACCACAGGAGAGGGATCTTTCCACTTTGCTCTGCCGCAGCTCCAACTCTCTGGGATCTGCCAGTCAACCTTTTTATGTTCTTCAAACATCTGCAGAAAGTCAAGGTTTGTCATATAGTACTATTGATTAGTTGGAAATGATCAGGATTTCTTCACCTTTTATTTCATTTGTTTATTTAGTGACAAGGTTTTTCTTTTATAATAATAAAAGTAGTGATGCACTGTAACCAGTCCCCAACCAGGATGATTGAGCCACTGTTGCATCAATTACAAGGATATGATATGTGAAGTGTTATTGTTGTTTCTTGTGACAGGTCTCCAGCAACATTGTGGACCGTACAGTGGAATTCTTCTATTGGCTGTTGCTGGTGTCTCTCTCAGTGTCAACGTCTTGTATACAATCTACGTGGTGTTCCTTTGGTATGTATGTTATTACATTGGATTATATTTTTATAAAAGCTCTGCTGATGAATAGCACTGCTGTTTTTAGAAAATATTGAATATGTACTTTTATTTTTCTTTCTCCTCAAAGTAAAAGAAGAAAGAGTGTGAAGCCAAAAGAAGAGGAGATGACTTACATGTCTTTGGATCGTAGAGACACATCTCCAGAGTATGATGTCATTGCCCAAACTCCAAAATGACTCCCTCTACTTCCACTGATGATGAGCTTGATGATTATCACATAACATTGCTTAATGATTTATTGTATATCTGATACTGAGGCAAAAGCTCATCCTTCATCACCTTGCTCTCTCTTGCAGTGCCTTAAACTTCCACTTAGTGATATCAGTGTTTATGTATCAATTATCTAACATTGAACAACTATACAATGTAATGTAAATAAATACTTTCTATATGAATCTTCGAATGCTCGCTTTTGTAGAAATGTTTTAAACTTCAACAGAAAGGTTATTGATTATGCTATATGGTCATTTTTAGGTACTGAGGTTTTCATGTTTGTTGGTATACATATGTATGGTATACATACTGTTGTGTCTCGTCAAGTGTGTTAATTTTAGTCATGTTCATGTTTAGTGTTTCATGTTTAGTCCTTCCTGTTTTATTTTGTACTCACCTTTTCCCTCACATTTCAGACCCTGACTCCCTCCCTTTGTGTGATTTTCCCTTCTTTGTAATTTTCTGCCCCGCCCCTGATTGTTTTCACCTGTTTTCACTTACACCTGGTATAAATAGTCCTTGTCTCCCTTTGTCTTTGTCAGTTTGTCTTGTTCAGATTGTGAAAAGTATTGTCATGTGTTCCAGCCAGAGTTTTTTCATGTTTCGATTAAGGTTTGTTTGAAGTTTTTTTTATCCTTGTTGTGAGCGCCTTTTGTTTTCTTCTTTTTCAACAATAAATAAACAATAAATACCCCTTTTGTACATCTTCGTCAGTCCCTGAGTCATGCATTTGAGTCCACCAGAATTGTGTCTGAGGTCGTGACACATACATGTCTTTCTCATGAATAAGAGGACAGGATTTACAGGACACTGGATCGAAGAGATGAGTCTCAGAAACAGACGGTGTCAACATCCACTGAGTGCTTTGTTGATTGTTTGACAATGACACTGAAATATTTCTGAACAAAATATTAGACCATTGTTCATTTCCTGTTTGTTCCCTGGTCCAAACAGTAATTGTCTTTTAAAGCATGACCACAATTGTTACATAACTTCAACCATGAATTTGTTTTTTGTAATTTGTGATTTTAAACTGTTTCAGAAGGCTCAGACAAATGTTGTCTACCTGTCGATAGTGGACTTGTTGTAATACTATTTTGAATATCCAACTAGAATTATCAGTGTGTCTGAACCCCTATTTGCTACAATAGGTGAGTACAATAACATGAGCACAATGTAATGTAAATAGCACTGTAGAGATAGTAGCTTTGAAGGGGTTATACTGCTTAATTATTGGTGAAACTGGATCACAGAGGTATTCACTTAACTTTGTGCTCATTTGAGTGTGTGGTGGTTTTATTTTGCACTCTGTTATATTTTTGGTTGTAAATTTGTCTTTTACATACAATACATACATATAGAGACCATGTACGTTAACAACACGGCAAATGACTGCATCAGCTATCACTGAACTGAATGAACATTCAATATGACATTCAATAAAAAAAGGTTCATACATACTGAACTGAACTCGACTCAATTAGATGATAAAATGTCTGTGTGCATATGACTGTGTCTGCCTCCCTTATCTGACGTGTGACTGTTAAAAAACATTTCTTGAAACAATTACAATTAAATATTTATTCATAAACTTATTTATAATAATACGTAAGCTATATATGTTTCCCATAGTAAGTAAGAAAAAGTACACTTCATTGTTACATGAATCTGCACTTTTGTGACTTCCTCATTTTAAAGTTAATTCTTGCATTCTGTTGGAAACAGCAGCACAACTTTGAAGGAACTTCACTTCTCTATACATCTTTGATCTGTCTACCTGGAAGACCTGAAGACAATGTAAGTCATCATAACTTCTACATGACACATATTACATCATCAACATTTTTTTAAATGTACTATAAAATTCAAAAAATATAAACATGAGGTTACTTTGCTCTCAACAATTACAGTGCAAAATTTCAAAGGTAGAAAAAGAGAAAGACACAAATATGTGAAAGGTGGCAAAATCGTCCGATTGTGGTTTAAGAATGTTGAAACTAATTCTCTCAAATAAATTGTAACTTTGTAAATAAACTGAAAAAAACAGACATAGTATGTTTGTCATTTTTTCCTTTCACAAAACAGCATAGCTTCCTGTTTTTCATTTTTATTATCTATTAATTTTCTACGTCTTTTTTAACCAAAGCAGCATGTTGTAGCACTGAACTGAATGTTACAAAGGGTGGGTATTGATTAGACCTTGATTGAAGTATTGATTAATTTAACTGTTCAATTATAGTTTTTAAAGGAATGCAGTAATACGTCCCCTTATTCCTCTACGAATGATAAATAGCTGTGCTGTGTCACCGTGACCTCATGAAATGAAGAAACAGATCCGGATTGCAAAACGTTTCTTTGTCTGCAACCTCCGCAAATATTAAATTAAATACTGGCCTCCAGGTGAACCCTACTGTAAAAGTTCATGAGGGATGAAATGTACTAAAGATGTGAATTGTTCCATGTGTAATCTCCAGAGTTTCTGCCTCTCCTGACACACAAAGATGGCTGCAGCTCTGACTCTCCTTCTCATTGGCTGTCTGCTGCAGAGTGAGTTAAAGTTCATTCATATTTGGATAAATAACTATAAAACTATTAAAACCTATATCTACGCACTGTTAGTTAGGCATTCACACCACACAACAGCAGTATCTTTGATACATGGTGCACTAAATACATTTGATGGGTGAACAATTTTATTTTTATCTAGAAAAAAGTTGTTTAAATTTGGATTATTTTATGAATAAAGGTTTAGTGCTAAGATTCTAGCACGGCAACCAAACAGTCAAATTTCCTTCTTATTGTAAAGTAGTATTCACTTGTTCTCATTCACAGGTTTGTGTCTTGTGTTTCAGGTGTCCACTGTGGAGAGTTTAAGGTCACTATGCCGCAAACTATAGAAGTTCTCAGTGGATCCTGTGTGACCATCCCCTGCTCCTTTGATATAGAGGACAGATTTGGATCAGACTTAGATAGAACATGTAAAGCAATGTGGAAAAATGAACAAGGGACTGTTGTGTTTAACAGCAGAAATCCACAATCGTCTACAATAAAAGGAAATTTGACAGGAGACTTAACAAAAAGAGACTGCACCACAACCCTGAACAACATGCAACCTGAACACAGCAACAAATATTATCTCAAAGTGGAATGTGACAATCGCCTGAAATATAATTTTAATCAACAAAAGTTGGACATTTCAGTATAAAGTAAGGTTTTAAAGTCCATTTAGTTACACTTCAGTTGTTTATTTTTGTAGAACTGCTTTGACCTTGTTCTCCATTAATTGCACTTTTCATATAGTATATAAAATGGAGAAGAATTACATTTTTACTGACTGGTCAAAATGTACCTTCCCACCAGATGATCCTCCCAGACCGACTCTGACTCCGTCCACACTGGAGGTGGAGGAGGGAACCTCAGTGAGTTTGAAGTGCTCTGCTCCAGCTCCCTGTCTGTCTCATCCTCCAACTCTGACATGGACCCCCAGCCTGGGTCACAGTCAGGAGACACTGGAGGAGAATCAGGACAAAACTAAAGTCAAGACCTCTGTTGTGACCTTCACTGCTTCTCACCTCCATCACAGACAGGAAATCTCCTGTACTGCCGTCTACAACAAACAAGATGGCAGCACTGAGTCATCTGCTAGCACAAGTTTAACAGCTGATATTTCATGTGAGTTGTACTTAACCATTAGTCGATCAACAGAAAAATAGTTCTCAACAATGCTATGGTAAGCGTACTGACTCATTTCCGGTTTACTTCCTGCTCTGTGTACACTGTTTGGTGCTGTAGCTCTGTCAGTGAACACTAAATATAAATTTGTTTTTCTCGTTACAGCGGTTATTTTCCCGCTTAAACATTTAAACGTAGACTATTTCTACCTAAACACTCGGAGTTACTACTTCTTTTAGCGACTTTTTCATACATTCTAGCTTCATTAGCATTAGCAGTTAGCTATGGCCTCTCCACTATCCTGCTCAGTGTGTGTTGAGGAATCTCTGTATTTCAAAAACTCATTCCTCGCGTGTTCTTTTAATGAAGCGATAGGAGAAGATTTAGTTTACTCAATAATCAGCTTTATTCTTAACACCAGTAGAATGTGCAAAGTTTACAGAGCTCTGGGTTCAACTACAGTTAACATGACATGCACAAGGTCTGCCAGTTCACGAAGTCTGAGCCACCTCTTGTTTCTAACATCAGTTCTTATATTTTTGCAGATAACACACATAGCACAAGATGGTATAATCTCCACCCCTTGTCCTCTTGGTATCTTGTCTCCAACGATGGTGTTGATGGGGTAGCCAAAACCTGAGTTGTTTTTCACGACTGGAAGGAGTCCGTCCTGTGTTCTATCATTGTTTTTACGAGCTCCTGATACTGACCTCGGAGGCCGTGTTTGCCGCTATCTCTCCCAAAGAATGTCATGTTATATCTGCAACTACCCACACTCTTCTCCCTTATACTGTGCCTGCTATTCATATTTATTAGTAAGTTATAATTCTATAACACATCATACAAACATCTAATATTCATTACTTTATTTCTGTTATTAGTATTCCCTTAACAGCCCTTTATCAATGTAAGCATAATCAATGTAAGCACAAGAAAACATATTTCTATTCTAGTTAATAATCATACAGGTAAATATATAGAGTATAAATCACAGAATATCGCAACATGTGTCAGATGTTGGTTAGTTATTCCTCTGCCTCCTTTAATGATAATTGTTCTTTTATTAACTGTAGTTTATTTACTGCGCTGGAGGCGAGGCTTAGTGAGTTAGAGGAACGGCACCGCACCACGGAGATATCTTTAGCCGCTATAGTTAGCCAGCCCCCAGTAGCCGGTGCGGCCCAACGAAGGTAGCTTCTGCTAGCCGTCCTCCGGTAGTTCCCCCCGGTAGATCCTCCGGTAGATCCTGAGCAGCCGGGAAGACAGGGAGGCTGGGTGACTGAATGAAAGAAGAATAAAACGCTGAAGCCCACAGTTCACCACCAACCCATTCATGTTTCTGCTACATTGTCCCCACTCAGCGACACACCCGCTGAGGAACCAACTCTGGTTATTGGCAGCTCCATAGTCAGAAACGTGAAGTTAGTGAAGCCATAGTTAAATGTATCCCTGGGGCCAGAGCGGGCGACATTGAATCCTATTTAAAATAGACTGTGTCTGTCCCCCGACCACCTAAATTATTTAAAGAAATACAAACAAGAGGAGTTCAACATAAAAACCTAATAAAAATTAAATCTCCTCAGTAGCACAAAATAAATGAATGAAATGTGGACTGTTAAATATCAGGTCTCTGTCTTCAAAAGCTGTTTTAGTGAATGAATTCATATCAGATTATGATATTGATTTACTTTGTCTTACTGAGACCTGGTTGTCCCACGAGGAGTATGTTAGCCTAAATGAATCCACCCCCAGTCATATTAATACTCACATTCCTCGAGGCACCGGCTGATAATTCATTTGAAAGCCTTGTTCTTAGTCTTTTTCACCCAAACTGGAAAACACTGCAGCCAGTTCTATTTGTTATAGTGTACCGCGCTCCTGGACCGTACTCTGATTTTATTTCTGAATTCTCCGATTTTTTATCAAGTTTAGTCGTTAAATCAGATAAAGTAATTATTGTAGGTGATTTTAATATCCATGTGGATGTTAACAATGACAGCCTTAGTAATGCATTTATATCATTAATAGACTCAATTGGCTTCTGTCAGAGTGTAAATAAACCAACTCATTGTTTTAATCACACTCTTGACCTTGTTCTATCATATGGCATTGATATTGAACATTAAATAGTCTTCCCACATAATCCTTTCCTATCTGACCATTATTTAATAACTTTTGAATTCATATTATTAGAGTATAAGCCATTACGCAAAACTTCCTACAGCAGATGTCTATCTGGCAGTGCTGTAGCTAAATTTAAGGAGGAGATTCCTTCAGTGTTTAATTCAATGCCATGTCTGAATTTAACAGAGTCCTATAACGACTTTAGTCCCTCTGAAATTGATAATCTTGTCGATAGTGCTTTAGGCTCACTACGATCAACATTAGACTCTATCGCTCCTATAAAAAGGAAATTATTAAAACATAGGAAACGAGCACCGTGGTACAACCACCAAACCCGCCAGTTAAAGCAAATAGCTAGGAAATCTGAAAGGAAATGGCACTCTTCCAAATTATCAGTTATTATCACTCAATTTGGCAAGATAATCTTAAAATTTAACCCTGTACTGTAGCACTGTAGCCAGGCTGACAGAGAGCCACAACTATATTGAGCCACATATCCCCATAACCTTAAGTAGCAATGACTTCATGAGCTTCTTTTATAATAAAATTATTACTATTAGAGAGAAAATTAATCACCAACTGCCATCAACAGTTATCAGTGGCTCTCCAAGTTCAGGGATTTTTACTAATGTAAACTTAGATATATATTTAGACTGTTTTTCTGCTATCGATCTTCATCAGTTAACTTTAATAATTTCTTCATCGAAGCCATCAACCTGTCTATTAAACCCGATCCCAACTAGGCTGGCTGCTTAAAGAAGTTGTTCCCTTAATTGGCACTTCTTTACTGGATATGATTAATCTTTCTTTATTATCAGGATATGTACCACAGTCCTTTAAAGTAGCTGTAATTAAACCCCTTCTTAAAAAGCCCACTCTTGACCTAGGGGTTTTAGCCAACTATAGACCGATTTCTAACCTCCCCTTCCTCTCTAAGATTCTGGAGAAGGTAGTCGTCAAAGAGTTGCGTGACTTTCTACATAACAATAGTTTATTTGAGGATTTTCAGTCAGGATTTAGAGTTCTTCATAGCACAGAGACAGCTCTGGTTAAAGTTAAAAATGACCTTCTGATTGCTTCTGACAATGATGTCTCTGTATTTGTATTATTAGATCTTAGTGCTGCATTTGACACCATTGACCATAATATTCTTTTACAGAGACTTGAGCTTGATGCTCAAGGCATTAAAGGAACCGCACTAAGCTGGTTTAAGTCATATTTATCAGATCGTTCGCATTATGTACATGTTAACGATGAATCTTCAATAAATACTACAGTCAGTCATGGAGTTCCACAAGGTTCTGTACTTGGACCAATACTATTTACTTTATATATGCTCCCTTTAGGCAACATTATTAGGAATCACTCCATTAACTTTCACTGTTATGCAGATGCTATCGATCAAGCCCGATGAAATTAATCAATTATCTAAATTACAAACATGTCTTAAGGACATAAAATCCTGGATGAGCAGCAATTTTCTGATGTTAATCTCAGAAAAAAACGAAATTCTTGTTCTTGGCCCCAAAAACCTTAGGGACTCACTGTCTAAAGATATAGTTACTCTAGATGGCATTAACTTGGCCTCTAGCACCACTGTCAGGAATCTTGGAGTTATCTTTGATCAGGATTTGTCATTTAACTCCCACATAAAGCAAACCTCCAGGACTGCCTTGTTTAATTTACGTAATATTACAAAAATTAGACACATACTATCACAGACAGATGCAGAAAAAGTAATCCATGCATTTGTTACTTCAAGGCTGGATTACTGCAACTCTTTATTATTAGGTTGCACCAATAAGTCCATTAAAATGCTCCAATTAATTCAGAACCCTGCAGCACGAGTACTGACAGGAACTAGGAAAAGAGATCACATCTCTCCTGTACTAGCTTCTCTGCACTGGCTCCCTGTAAAATGTAGAATAGAATTTCAAATCCTCCTCCCCACCTATAAAGCTCTTCATGGTCAGGCCCCTTCATATCTTAAAGAGCTCATAGTACCCTATTACCCCACTAGAACACTACGTTCTCTGAATGCTGGGCTACTTTCCTATAGGCCAGAGCCTTCAGTTACCAAGCTCCTCTCCTGTGGAACCAGCTTCCAGTTGTGGTTCGCGAGGCAGACACCCTCACCACATTCAAGAGTAGGCTTAAGACGATCAGGTGAGCCCTGAACCATCCCTTAGTTATGCTACTATAGGCCTAGACTATCAAGGGGATTTCCCATGGTGCACTGAGCTCCTCTCATCGTCTCTCTTTCTGCATTCATGTTCCATTAATGCATGTTACTAACTTTACTTCTTCCCCGGAGTTCTTGTGCTTTCTCGTCTCGCAGGTTCTTATGGATTCTGGTGGAGCCTCCTGCCATGGTCCTGCTAGATTGCCATTACCAATACTGTTGTTACTGTGCGTCTGTCTGTCTGTCTGTCTGTCTGTCTGTCTGTCTCTCTCTTTCACCCCAACTGGTCGAGACAGACGACCACCCACCTAGAGCTGAAGGATCTGTCCTAGGTTTCTGCCTTTTAACAGGCAGTTTTTCCTTGCCCTTGTCGCCAAGTGCTTGCTCATGGTGGTACTGTTGGGTCTCTGTAATTAATGTTATAAAGAGTTCGGTCTAGACCTGCTCTATTTGAAAAGTGTCCTGAGATAACTTCTGTTATGAATTGGCGCTATACAAATAAAATTGAATTGAATAGAATTGATCAATGTTGACAGGTGATTAATCATTCATGTTTTTTTTTTTTTTTTCAAAAAGACATGTAAACAAGTAAAAGTTCCCTGTTCTCAAAATATGAGGACTTGCTCAATTCTGTTTTATTCCATTGTAAATTGATTTTCTGAGAACAGTTTTTTTGGAAGACACGTAACACATT